ACACAGACAGGGTCGTCCCAATATGCGTTTTTGCAATTTGCATATAGGCAAAAACGTATAAAAACCTGAGCATTCGACAGTGGGTAATTCGAGAGCGTCATGTTAGATAATGTAGTCGCAAGTTCAGCAGGCTGACTACTGGGAGTTGAGCACGGCGACACTGCCGCAATCTGTCAAATGCAACCTTTTTACAAAAAAAAATTTAACATTAACATTAGATCCAGAATTTTACGAAATAGAAGGCGCGGGATCATAATCTAGTCATTGCATGCACCAGGAAGGCGTCCTACCGTGTACTTCACACCACCATTCAAAGGGTCATCTCGCTCTGGACTTTCTGTACCCATCGGTCTATGTTTTTGATCACTAGACAGAAGTGGCCCTTTATCAAGTTAAAAAAGTAATAATCACAGAACCATATGTATGTAAAATTTAGAACAAAATGCTGAAAAAAACTGTCACATTTTTAAAAATTTTTGACATTTTAAGCGTTGCTATTTCCGAAGCTTGCTGCAGCTAGGACTTTTCCAGGCAGAAAGAAAGAGGAAGGAAAAGGAGGGAGAAAAGGAATAAATCTGCTCTTCCTATCACTCACTGTGTTGATGGTTTGGAAATAGGACAAAAAAAGATATGCTTACACTCGCTGAGCAATACTTTTCATCTGAAAATGCTGGCATTAAAGGCTGCCAGTATTTTGATTACTTTTCTGAAATCCTTACAAAGTACTAGTAAAATCACCTGTTTGTCACCCAGCAGACCACTTTGTTCTAGAAAATTCCGGAATATTTTTACGATGTTGTGTGCTGTTTTGGCAGAAGCTTCAACGTAACGTATGTTGAAATTGAGACGCTGCGTCCATGCTTGAGCTGTTGCTTCAAATATCTGAAATTTAGGCTTCCCAAAATTCACATGGGACTTTTTAGAACTAATTATGTGAAGCTTTACTGCAGCTTGCCCTACCTTTTGAGACACTGAATCACACTTGTTCCCAACAACAACAATCGGGATGTCCCGGGCGTCGCCACGCTGCTGCACAATCTCTGACCATATGTCGCTCATCTTAAAGCATTTTTGTTGCACAATTTTTTGGAGCTTCAAAAAATCTCATTATACTTGTCAGTTCATACAAATTTGCTCTTTTTCTATGTATTTTTATAAGTTTTCTAGGATGCGTTAAGTTTCAGCACTGAAAATTGGAAATACCTGTTTAAAGCTAGACACGTCATCAACGGCAAACACGAGCATAAGCGCGTGAGCAGACGCTACCGCCACTTTTCGCATATCAGGATAATCGTAATTCGTATCCAGTATATCTAATGATATTGGCATTCCCTGTTCATTCAGCTTCTTTAGTTTCCAGGGCAACACAGTTTTGAGAGCGTTGAAAAGTGTTAGTTGTTGCAGTGACAAGGGAATCAAAAATACATTAAAAAAAAAGATCTGGCTTTCAGGGTGACTAAAATAAAAAGGTAGATGGGATTAACAGCAACAAAGTTAAGAGATGGAGCAACTGTGGCACTCGACGGC